TGTAAGTACTGCAAGACACAGTGCTTTGTTGATTTTTCCTTGCACAGATTGCATTGCACCTTCATATTCGGACTCTAAAAGAGGCTTGCCCAAAGAATGTCTGCTGGGCAAATGGTATGATGGTCTTAGTAATTTAAAAGCTTCCTGCCAGTATGCATTTTCAGTTATTGACAATGGCATCCCAGAAGAATATGCTGCTCTTGCAAGAGCTTGGTCAATTTTTTCCTGATCTTCTGGTGTCATCTTGTCTACAAATGAAGCTACTGAGTCTCTTTTATATACAGGTGGTTGCAATATTTGGTTACTTGAGGATGTTGATTGGGCAACTCTTTGAGAGTGTACTATGCTGCTTGTTCTTGATTTACAAGAACTGTAATGATCTGATACTGTAGATAGCAGGCCTGTGAGAAGCAGCAAGTATTCGCTTCGGATTTGGATTCAGCCGATTCAGGGGGACAGTGATTCTCTTTGGAGATTTGAATCACTGTCCCGATTCAATTTGGCTGAATCAGATCCAAAGATCTGGCGCCACTTCGGAGATTTGTCCATAGACAACACAGGTAGCAGTCCTCACTACCCTGCACACAGCTGCCTCCAGCTGGTAAGTCTGTTGGTGTTGTGGGAGGGGGGAGGGAAGGGATATGAGGGAGGGAGGGATTGGGGCTGGGACAAGCTGCCCAGCCAGGGTGGAGGGCATGGGATGCGAGTGCAGTAGCAGTGGGAGTGGGGGCTCTGCCCTGTTGCCACTTGCCCAGCCGGGGAGGGCAAGCGGGATGCAGGCACGGCAGCGCTGGGAGCGGGGTTTATGCCCTGCTGCTGCTTGCCCAGCTGGCATGGGGGAGTAGATGCTGTCAGCGCTTGCCAGCTGGTGCAGAGGGATGGGCACTGCCACCACTTGTCAGCCAGTGTAGGGAGGCGTGTCCTGCCACCGCTTGCCAGCCAGCAAGGCAACATGGGTGCAACAGTGCTGGGAGCAGGGGCTATGCCCTGCTGCCACTTGTCCCCTTCTGTCTGGAGTGAGCTGTGCTCACATTCCGACCCCCCTCCCTGCCCCGACTGGCCAAACAGTAGCAGGGCGTAACCCCTGCTCCCAGCGCTGCTATACCCACATCCCACACCCCCCCTGCCCCTCTCCCTGAGTCCTGCACCCCCTGCCCTAGCTGGGCAGCTTGTCCCAACCCCCTCCCCAATCCCCCAACCCCAACAGACTTACCAGATGGAGGCAGCTGTGTCCAGCATGGTGAAGACTGCTGCCTGTTTGGTCTATGGCCAAATCTCCAAACTGGCCAAATCTTTTCTGAACTGATTCAGAGGCTTCCGATTCAATTTGAAGCTTTTAATTGGTCTCCCGATTTGATTAGGAGATTCAGTCCCCAAATCGGGCTGAATCTGCTCTGAACCGAATCAGCTACTGAAGCTTCACACAGCCCTAGCAGATGGGAAGACTTTTATGTAAGACTATTACATAGTTACTAGAAGACTTCTTGGGAGAGTAAAGGGTAGTAATATATGAATACCTTGTCTTATAGAATTTTATTCATCATTCTAAAAGAGAATATGTCATAAAAAAAATTTTTAATTTTTCCAACAAATTTCATTTTTTCCAATTTTTCAGAAAAAAAAACCAAAAGAAAAACGTTCTTGGAAAAAACCTGGAACCCCACCCCTTTTTTTCCTGATTTTTTCTGGGGGGTTTTCCAGGCCTTCACATCTCTATGTAGGTTACTAAATATGTCAATCTGAAATTCCTGGTTCGATTTTTGTTAACTTAAAAAATCTAAGCTAAATCAAATAAAACTTTGATTCTTAGCATTTGACCTGGGCTGGACAAATCCAATAATCTATTTTGACTTCCTTCTATTTTGTTATCATATGGGCAATCAACATTAGAAGAATTTTTGGACTCCGATGAACACCTTTTGAATGTTTCATAATATACAAATCCCTTATGCAATTAACTCCAACTTAAAAGAATTTTTTTGTTGGCAACAACATGTGTCAGCTTAGATACTATAGGGTTGTTGGCTGTAGCCGTGTTGGTCTAAGGACGTAGGTAGACAAGGTTCTTTGGGTAGATGTGAAATCTTTTATTAGACCAACTAAATAGTTGGAAAAATTGACTTCTATTCTACCCAGGAGAGCACACAAACACCAACAGACACTCCCAACTGCCTGAAGAAGGGTGTTTGTGCCCAAAAGCTTGCAAAGAATAATTTTTCCTTACCCAAAGAACCTTGTTTGTCAATTTAGATACTGGGAATTCATTGTTTTGTAAATTATAAGGAAGAGGTTGAAATCTGGTTTTAACAGGAATACTTGTCTCTAACTATTGAGAAGCTAACTACTGATGGACTACTGATCCAGAGCTCATCGTTTTCTACTCTAATTACAAGAAGCTGAGAGCACTTCAGTGACAACTTGGTCGAAGTCTAAGTAGAAGATGTTCTTACACGTGTCAGCACAGCTATCTCTGGCGCATATGTGGCCTAGTGTTATCAGGCAAGACCACTGAGGAAGCATTAAGAAACTCTGAGCACTTCTCAGCTGGAAGAAAGAATACTGCAATAAAATCTTGAGAAGAAGCAGTGATGACGGTGAATGAAAAGGAGGGGAATTAATCTTCATGGACTAAAAAAGACTCTCCTTCACTTAAAGAAAAACACAGATAAAAAAAACCAATCTGCTTCAATTTCAGAGTAGCTTTTTAAATTAAATAAAAGGCTAAGTATTTCTGCTGCAACATTTTTCATGTCTATGAAATCTGGTAGAGTTTCAGCTCTTTTGAGGGACCACTGTACTAATCTATCATCATGTCAGAAGAGGGCAGCATAACACAGCTTTCCATAAACTATACAAAAATATTATGTAGGGTGAAACCATGTCCACCTGTTTTTCAATACACCACACACATTTTCTGCTGAAAAATAAGGTGAAAAATATGGAGTGCTAGAAGAAAGCACCCACTAATGATTTTTACTCTTCCCCACATAGAAGTTAAATATTGACTTTAATGCTTGCTGCAGAGCCAAAGCAAGGATTTTGTAAATTTAACTATGTTTGTACATGTACATACAGTATCATACTTATATGCCTAAAAATTATACTATGTGTTTAACAATTATGTGCACTAGTGTAAATCAAAATGAATGCTTATGCCTGTAAAATAAGGTAGGCAACAACTTGAACACAATTGCTGTATTGGTCTGAAAATCCATTTGTATTCCTGTTTGATTCATAGATTCATAGATGTTAGGGTCGGAAGGGACCTCTATAGATCATCGAGTCCGACCCCCTGCATAAGCAGG